CGCGGGCTTCCTTGTGCTCATGTGACAGCCACCGCAGGTCAGCTGGTGCCCTGCTCTGAGCTCCCTGCCTCTGGGACTCAGACCCGAGCTGCAGCTTCTGCCGGGCACACGCCGGTCCCCGTGGGCGAGAAAGAGAACGTGGGAAACTGTGGGGGGACACCGGGCTGTCTGCCCGCTGCCTCGCGCCAGCCTCACGGCCACGCCCAGCTTAGCGGGGGCTTGCGCAAGGGACCCTGCCACCCCACCTGTCCCCAGGAGAAGAGGACCAGGACACCTTTAGCCCTCCCTGATTTCCACCCCTGCCGCCCGGGGCTCTGCGTGGCAGCGTCGCCAGTCCTGCAGACGAGTTTGTCGCTCGGTGACCTCTAACCTTTCTGCCCGGCTCTAACACGGGAGCGCCAGGCTGGACAGTTCCCGCTGCGCTCTGACCCGGCTGCGCTCAGTGGACCGAGAGACGCGTTTGCTCGCTGGGGGTTACAAAAGCTGAGTTTACGAACAACTCCGTGATGTCTCCTTGGTTTATAAACCGGAACATTCCTCTCTGTGCTTGGTTTCCACAAGGTAAAGTTGTACCTAAGGACAGAAGGAAGCCTGACTGCTCCCCTCTGTCTACCTATGTTGAGAACAGCGACCCGCTTCCCGGAACCCCCGAGCACGCTGGCCGGGTGCCCGCTCTGCATCACGGCGTGTGCTGCTGTGCGCGCATCACCGCGGACACACCTGCCGTCACGGTCCGCTCCATGCCTGTCCCCCGGGAGTCTCTGCACCTTTCTCTCCTGCCTTCCTCTGCTGGGACTCGCTGGCCTTGCACCCTCCTTGTTTCTGGGACGACGAGCTGTTCCAGATCTTTCTCACTCACTCCCAGCCCATTTCTGCAGAGCGCGCGGTTCCATGTAGATACCAGCGCAGGTCTGGGCGCGGCAGCACACACCTGCCATCCTGCCGAGTGGCAAACGCCACGCGTGTGAGCCGTCGCGATGGCTGTTGCCGCTGACTGGCGATGTCCCTCTGTCACACCTGCTTCCTGCTGTCTCCGCGGCAACGTCATGTGCGTCGTGTCCCTGAAGGTTTCTGCCCTGCCCAGTAGTCCGCTTAAGGTCCTGGCGGTTTAGGAACCTTCCTAGACAGCGGATAGTTTTGTTTTCTTCTGTTTGACGTTATCTCTTTTTTAGTCCCCCCTGCAGGAGACTGTTGGTTTTTGGGTATTGACCTGCTCTTCTGTAACCTTGC